AATTGTAGTGAAACTGCAGTGGAGTAATAAAATAATTAAATTAAATTATAAATAAAAAGCTTTATTTGCATTGGTCTGGAAATTATCATATATGCCAACAAAACTATAGCTTTTACACTTGATCAATTCTAAACTAGAAAATATATTAAGAACGATGTCAAAATCTATCCACGTCTAAATACCTAATCCTCAAGGTAAGACTTAAGAGTGATGCTTTGGTGAAAACGCTTGGCTAATTATTGAATAAAAAGTTATGTCTCTACTACTATTTCAAAATGCTTTAATGAGCCTTAGACCAAGCTGATACCCTAGTGCAAAGTGAAAAACCATGGACCAAGTTTGGTTAATGATTCTAAATGATAGTCTTCATATATAGGCTCTTTTATAATAAAAATTTATATCTGAAAATGATAAAGAATCATACATTATGGAATATCTTTATTTACTTTTGCACACATCTTTGGAAGACTATGCCTTCCGTTGTGGCACAATTGCATTAGTGTAATTTTTGTATTTGTGCCATATGCTCCTTCCTTAATCCCATACTTTTTGTTGCAATACCTCCAGAAAATATGCAATTTCGAAGGGGTTATTTTAATTGCAAAGCTTTGTTATCAAGCTAGCAACCTGTGTAATATGTGGGTATTATGTTCTTCACTAGAAATTAATTTGGTACTCGTTAGCTACTTTTACAAAAATTCACTCTACACCAGAAGGGACCACAATTTAGTTATCTAGATCAGTACCTTTAATTGACTAAGTAATGCCTTAAATTTGTTTTATACAAAATTAATCAACTATTATTCCCTTTTAAACTCAAACGATATCTGGTGATTATTTCAACATCCACTCACTGGCTCTATGTTTACTTTCATTCCTTAGGAAGTCACAACAATTTTTTTTCAGTAAATTTATCAAGACCTTATTGGACCTCATTTATCAACTTTTTTTAGTAACGCAGCAATATGTCCGATTTAATAATGTATACATGCGTATATATCGATTTGAATAAATGAAATTTAGTCTAACCTTGAATTACATATCAGTACAAGTTAATAAAACAAAGTAAGCTTAACGATTTGTTTGCTAGCGAAAAAGCACACCTGATCCCTTTAAAGGCTGGTACTTTGAAGCATAATTTAGGGCGAAGTACTAATTAGAGTGTGCTGCACATTTGTGCACGATACAATGAATTAAAATGACATAATTAAGTCCTCTATTCGGGTGATAATTTTACTATTCTTCCACAATTATTGCGTTACCAATAATACAAAGGTGTACCTTTTTACTCCTTAAAGAGAGACTATTAAGTAGTCTAGTAAGTAGCCATAGGGTTGGAGAATGATGATTTTGCATTAAATATCACTATAAATCAAATGGTGGAGAGGAGTGGCAGGCCACATGAGATTACTATTTTTTAGAGTGTGTGATGATAAAAATGAACCTTATTCCTACTATTAGAGCCATCCACTCATTCAGATCCCAGATTATGACACCATTGGCTCTGGCGCCCATCTCAGAGACGACCGACAAAGTAGGATTTGTCCGACGTTCATGCTTGGTCCGTTCGTTTGAATCGGACCATAACATTACTCAAATACAAAAAAGTTCTGAGCCTTCACAACAGCAAGCCGAGAGCAGAACCATTGTCAAGCAGACAAGGAAACCGAGGATGATCGCCTCTGACTCATTACTTTCTGGTTCTGAGGGAGCCAATAAACGTGATTTCTTCTTTCCAGAGTCTGATATTCGTCTGATTGGGTTGCCTTTACTCAAGAGTCCTGAGGTAAGTGTGATTTGAAGTGACAACCTTAAAATTTTAGTAAAGTCTAGTTTACCTAGAAATGTCTTAACTTTTAGAAGTGAAACTCTATTGTGGTACAAATTTATCTGCTATTTCTTAGATATAAAGACAAGAGAAGGAGGCCTTCAGCTTGATCGCAGCCTCCTTCCCCTAAATACAGTTGACTGGACTTCGTTTTCAAGAGTAGGCCGTGTTTCTTGAGGAACTCCGATCAATGCACCCGAATTACATCCTCTGCCGTTGAACTGTTACATTTCCATATTTTTTGCTGTCATCCTACTCGGCCTTATCAGCACAA